TATAGTTAGTCCAGGAATAATACAAACAATGTAAAATTAGTTTATTTTTAACATAAACCACCCATATTACTGTGAAACAGTTATGTCAATGTCATGGTTTAAATCTACTGGAAATTTGTTCTGTCACATTTTTACTCTGTCTAATACATGATCATGAGCTTTTTGAAAATAAGTAATAATGTGATTATAATTTGGCAGTCTCGTTATTTTGCTTCCAAATCACATCAACACTTATGTAAATTTAATTAACAACTTGGTAGGTGTGTTGTTGAAAATAACGTACATGTAGATAATATAGAATCCACAGTGTACCACAGTGTACATTGCAAGCTTATATGAAATGGAGACAGGCTGTAGAATGACGTCATTACTGTCCAATCAACAGCTGGACTCAAACAAATGACAGGGCCATGACCCAGCTGGGGTTCACTGAAATTGAATTGGTGACAAAGAAGCTGACTAGACTTGGGAGTGTGTTGGGTCACAGCACATTTACGAGAATGTTGACCAGGTTTGATCATTACACACAGGGGAAATTTGAAATTATTTACATATGCAAGTGTTATACTTGTGTACATGGTAGAAATGTGGTTTAGCCTTGAAACTCTAGGAATCGTATTCAAGGCTTTGTGTCTTTATTGTGGCTATTGTGGGTTCAAATAATATGCTATAGTTCATTGACTGCTCTTTTCACTGTCATCCATGATCACTTCAGGTAACCCTGAATGGGTTCAATTTCTTGTTTCAGAAAAAAATGGTGATTTAAATTAATTATTGTATATGGCAGTTGCTTTATAGATTATGCAGGAGAAATTTGCAGAAAAGAATAAAGTCTGTGAAATAATTTCACATGCATTTTATGATTACCGAATACTATTAAAATTCTTTCCCAGTCCAACTCTACCAATTAACCTTGCATTTACTGACAGTCTTGTTTCAGTTGCTATTTAGTGTCCAATTCAATAAATAAACATCAGAGACTTGGATTATTAAACCTAAAACACTCTTAGGAACTGGATTATGGTATTTTCAAGTAGCACTTATGTGTAGACCCAGAGTCACAAACCACTTGAACCTTGTTTATGTTTGTGATATATGTAGAAGGGTCTATTTATTTAATTTATTGTGAGTTAATTAATACCCACACTAAAACGCACCAATTAACTGATATTTTTTCAATACTTCAATCTCTTTAATATCCCTCTTTATTGACTATTAAAAGATTGGGCTATAGTAATTCAGAAAAGGCAGTAAGTCACTGTAGCAAAGAGTTGCATGTGGACCCCCAAAGTTTTGTAATACATAGATTGCATGAATGCTACAAATGGCTTTTTTTGTAAACAAAATAGTTGTATGATTCAGGAATTGTGCCCCCAGGTCAAGCACTTCTTGTATTAGTCATGATGATGTTATAGCTAATTATTGCTATAGCTTTCCTGATTGGATGGCCACTCTACGTGCTTACTGTCATTCTGCCCGTCTAGATGCATTTTCTCTGATTGGGTAGCCACTCTGGGTACGTACTGTGTCATTCTGCCCATCTAGATGCATTTTCTCCAATTGAGTAGCCACATTAGGTGCGTACTGGATGATTGAGATGTCGTGATTTAGCTTAGCTTAGCTCATGCTCATCTCATCTCATTTGTAATTCTACAAAATGACAGTATTAACAATTTTACCACAAAATTTACAAAACATTTACATCTTTCACAAATCAGTTATTTTATGAAGCTGCCCATCATGTTTATTTTCATTTGTGCTACATCACTTATAGTGTGGAATTGCTGTCTCTATTATGGAATGACTACCCTCAAGCGTGGAATGACTGCCCTCTAGTGGGCGGGGGGGGGGGGGTGTGGGGTGACTGCCCTCTAGTGTGGAATGATTGCTTTCTTGATGCATGTTATTGGCTGCTACCCGGTATTACACAAATTTATAAATACTGCATTTGTTTTATTGGAAGCTTTGTAAATATCAAGTAGAAGCACACATATACCCAAATATTGCATTTATTGCATGTCAGATATAATATTTCCATAGATACTTCCGTGTCATTTACTTTAACACATGCACTACTAATGGAGCAAATATGGTACATACAACTGAATTGTACTAATTCACTATTTGGATTATGTATTTATTATTAATGTAAACTATTATTGCTAGGAATTGACTGTGAATGGGTCAATTTCATATGTTTATTTGATCTTTAGTTTCCATGCTTTGTATGACCTTTTGACCATTTTGTTTCTAACCTTGTAAGGGTTTTATGCACTCACTATGCATCAGTTTCTGTTTATAAACAAAAGGCTGTTTAGTGAACAAAATAACATTATTCCATTTTCAGGAATGTGATATTTTTTATAGAGAAAAAGTCCCAGATTTGATGCTTTTAGCAAATTTCCCAGCATGCTTTTCCTGAAGTAATTAATATTAATGAGATTACTTTGCATGGCTATGCCAAGTAGATCTCCAGAGGCCTATACACTGACTGTGTATTGTGATTGGAATGTGGTGCTAAGAAGCCATGTGTTCTAGCATTCATTTCACTCTGTTAAATATCTTGTTAAAAGTTGACCTGATTGACTTTTTTCTAGTAGTATAACTTACAGGATACTTGGGTGTGGTTTCTAGGTTTTGAATTTCATATAAAAAAAACCAAAGCAGTCATTGCAGTGTATCTTCTATACTAACACTGTTATTTTTAAAATTCTGGGCAAATCGCCATAAACTGACCTTGTCATATTTAAATGCTGATGTAAGGTTCATGTAATATGGGAAATGTATGGCATTATAACTATTTATCAGCAGGTCTTTAATTTTGGAAGCCATCTTGTTTATTTACATAAAAAATTTAAACTGTTATAATTGATTTATATTAACTAAATTATTATTTTTTTTGAACACTACTGCTAACAATTTATTTGCCGTGAAAGTAATACCTATAATATTGACTCTATTTTAATGCGTTCACCATGGTGATTAGATCACAACTTTCCCAGTTTTGCAGGAAATGATCATCCCGTAAGATCAATAAGTCATTTTACCAGTACCATTATTGTATTAAATTTAAGTGTATCTGTCAAACTTGACAAGGCCGATAGTTTCTGAAAGTATTTGATGTTTTTAGTTTTAGTTTATTTTCACATTGAACATTTGTTTGAAGAGAAAATGGTGATTAAAAATTGAAATAAAGTGGCCTTGATCGTATTCTTAATGTTCATTAATGTCTTTTCAATCTGATCATTGCCAGTCAGACAGGCAGGCGACTGTTATTTAAAAGTTTTGTATATGTCTGGCATTGTGATATGTTGTGGAATACAACTGCTTTGGTGAGACTGCAGTTTATTCTTAATTTCCCTCCAACTTTTAAAGTATTTCTGATATAATAATAATACGAATACTCTGCAAGTACTGTCTGAGGAAACTGTATGGTAAAGACAAAACATAATATATATATACATACATACATACATACATACATACATACATACATACATACATACATACATACATACATACATACATACAGACAGAAAAAAACAAAAATACATATATAGTGATGAAAACTTGACTTCTGATAACCAAATATGGCGTGGTTTCCAATTTAAAACTAGGGTAGTTCTAGCTATAAGTTTCTTTTCCCCTCTTAAGATTGTTGGTTTGACATATATGAATCGTACAATTGTCAGAACCCTCATGCATGAACCCTCACTTGTCACTGATTCTCATATTTATAAGTCAGGTCAGGTTATGGAAACACTCTGTTTGGCCTGAGAGTTTAAGAAGCTATATTCTCTTACTAGATCACACTTCTATATTCTAAATATTGTCACCTGCTGTGAACACAGCCTTGACTAAAATAGCAAGATTATTTATTTCACTTTCACCTTCAATGATTTGCTGGATGACTCATCTCCAGGCAACTATACTGTTTGACAAAGTTATAATTGTGCACCAAAGGGATTACAAAGTTAACTGCGTTCTGTTTCAGTCCCATAGTATTGTGTAATGAATTCAAAGAAACCAAACATGAGGCACGCATGCTTTGACATAATGTCTGTGTTGGTTCTCAACAAAGGAGTGACTGTCTTTCCTAAATTGGAATGTTTCCAGCGAGACACATAAATGTAGGTCTGTACAGTAGTGATTGTTTGCCCCATGGCTAGACTGTAAAATATTATGAAAGACCTGTATTCAACTGTAATATAATTTGTCATTGAGGACAATAATGGACAATAAGTTGTCAACAAGGTGAGCAATTAATATTCAGCTGAGGCCTATCAGCACATCGTAGGTGGTTATTCAAGTGTATAAACA